GTGAAAGCCCAAAATTTCTTGGGAGGCAGGTCTGACTAGATCGTCCCTACAGTTTTGGAAATGGTTTTCGCCAAGGTCTAGGCGGCAGCGAGGGTATATCATAAAGTGTTAGACTAATAAATATTCATCCTATGTCGAGAACTGTGACTCGATTTATATGTTAGAGGCTGATCTCGCCTTGTAGGCTTCTTCTTGACAGCCCAAACGGATATGAGGAGGTTGTAGAGGCTAACTAAATAATTTTGTTAGGAAGCAGCCAATGAAGTGGAAATCTGTTGACTCTAAAAAGTATATCTCCAACGTGGTCAACAAATCATAAGGCCTCTTACGTACGTGCAAGCCGAATTGTTGCACACTTCGATAAACCATTAGCCACTTGTGGCTTTCTTTGGTAGGGGTGGAGTTTGCCATGCGTACTCCGACGGTCAAGTCAGCTAGGGGGATGAATATATGAGTGTGGAAGGGATTTAGACGTGAGCCTCCGATGTAAAAGGGGGTCGACTTTGGGAAATGACTGATGAAACAGTAAGATGGCAAAGTTATAAATTGAGAGGTGAGAGTTTCCATAGTGGAAGAAGAGGCACGTAACTTCATTAGTGCGACTGATGCCTCTTGTCGAAGACATCAATCAATCATAAGCATTAAATGCCAATACCATATTACTATCCAAAATGCAAAGCTTACAGCTTTGGACTTGGTCTGGTGGGTTTGAAGTGGCGATGGTAGCAGTGAATTGCCACATCAATCACATACCATAGATTGTTTGGGAGATCTAGTTCTGAATTCCCTTTACAACCTCGCTTTCCCCATGGCTCGATCCCTCCTCACGGGGTTAATATTGCTAGTGGGGCTAGTGGGCATATTGGCTTGTCCACCCTAAAGAGGTTCGGTCGGAAGAGCCTCAATATGCTTTGACGTGGTGTCGGGGCCCCATGATTGCTTGTCAGTAGGACATTTTGGAGGACCTTGTGGGCGAGGCATAACAAATACTATTGAAAAACGTAGTCCAATATATATTGTAATAAGAATAAGTGATGACTCCATAAGCATTTATCCTAAGAAAGTATTCCATTTTCTACATCCTGTGATAATTAGATTTGCATGCCCTCATGTATAGTGAGTGATTTGTTTTAGGAGTTATCCAGCAAATCTGCACAATAATTTTCGATTTTCAGAAACATCTGCAATCTTGTTCTATTTCTTTGAACATACAATGCACATATTGAATTTTTTCTTTACGGGAAAACTTTATTAACGTAAAGAACCTATGAAATTGCAACTAACCATTCTTTGTTCTTATTAAATAACTTAGAATTTGCCTGCAAGACATATCTAAAATACATTCTATACAACTATATAGCCTTAGGTTGTATTTGTTAAGGGAGAAATCCATGTGTATTAAATATCAAAATATAGACACACATATAAGGACATTTTAAGATGTAACTTCAAATTTTAGTATGGTATAAAATTTCATTAAACCCCAACGAGCAATTTGATCCGATTAAGACTCAAAAATGAACACATGAATTTCAAAATTGATATACTAAAACGAGCCATTATCTTGTGAGGTATGTTAATGGATAAATTCCACATTGATTAAATATCAAAATATAGATCAATATATAAAGATTGAACTACTTATTTTAACAAGGTTAATCCTTTAGATGAAATCTCAAATCTTCATAGTATTCGTAGCCTTATCATTTTCACCCTAGGATGACCACCATGTTTGGAGATTTGGTAGGGTGACAGGGCTAGAAACATAGAAAATAAACGGGCCACCTTAGCCCTTGATTTGAATTGATGATTTCCCGTGTTCCCAGCCCACTTTAGCATTAGTGTCATGTTTGAGGTGGAGCTTTGGTCTGGTAAAAGGGATTTTTCATTTGGCACCAGAAAATAATGGACTCTGCTACACTGCTAGAAGAAAAGCAACAGAAGCCTTGACGTACCCTCACATTTGGGAGTGGGTCCACTTCTTCCTTCCAATTATTTATTCATGCGGGCCTCGACATTGTGAGTATCTGTCAAATCCCATGTCAAAAAATTTCCAGCACTTCAGCATTTTCCGAAAATGAATTGTTGTTGACTGTAACAATTAAGTCTACCAACTATTGGACCTAGAATATAATTTTTACAAATTAAAAATAGGATTCTATATATATCTACCCAACAGATTGAACGTGAATTTTAGGTTTCTAATTTTCGCTGGAACGAAGAATCCCACGTTGATTAGAACTTAAAAACTACCCCTTTCGTCTCCCTAGACTTTCCTTTAATATTTTATCTATCTTAGGTTTGAGATGATCTTCGATTGTCTTAAGGTAAAATTTGAAGGATTTTTTTGTAGTTTCATTGATATTAATATTG